ATTTTATTATTAGACCACACATTACAAAAGATTTATATAACATTGTTCTATAAAAATTACACAAATTAAAAATACAACACATAAACATTATGAATGAATAATTATTCTCATATACACCCAATTACTTAAATCATTAAATGAGTTGATAAATTTTTAAATGTAAATAATTTTTTACCGCCGCGAAGCGCGGGCCAAAAAACTAGTATTTAGTTAACAGGTAAACATACCCGGCCTACTCACCAACTAACAAAGAGCTTAAGAGCTTCACGAACAGACCTTGAAGCTTGGGAAACAAGAAACGTAAATGGGAAGGCCTAAAACAGCAAAACCACCCACCCATTGGAGTTTGTTAATGCTTACCAGCAGCCCAAGAGAGCATACAGCACAAAGAAAAAGAGAATCAGAACCAATGCGCCCAATATAAGGGGAGTATTCAAAAGATTTCAATCTCTCACACACAGTGCCAAGAGAAGTAAAACGCAGTTGGAGTGACGTCGTTTCCGGCGTCAATTAAGAGCCCTCAGAACGATAGCCTGTTAGGAGGACGACAGCGTTTCAAGCTTCAACGACTATCATCCACCTTTTTACATTTCAGTACCCAATGTTATGTTTTTACACATATTTCCCTTTCTGGCATGTAATTGCTTATGAAGCAACCTTGTCTTCTACTGCTACTTCTGATCTAGCTATATAAGCTGAAAGAACAATGAAATGAGATAGGTTTTCAGTCTCAACACATTGCAAAACGTTGTTATGGTATTAGAGCCTGTGCACTGGAAACCTAGCCGCCACCAACATCCATGGCTGAAGCCGCAGCAGCAACAACCGTCCCACCAGCCAACCCAGATCCTATGGCGGATCCTCTCTACCTCCATGGATCTGAAAAATCCCGCCTTGTTCTTGTTGTTGAGAAGCTCACCACTACCAATTACAATGATTGGAGTAAAGCTATGCACAATGCCCTTGGAGCCAAAAACAAACTTGGCTTCACTGATGGTATACTTGCAGAGCCAGCAGCTAACCACGCAACAACCTGGGCCTGGAACAGAAACAACGCCATGGTGCTCTCTTGGATCCAGCAAGCCGTCGAGCCTAGCATCAGGAAGACCATCATGTAAATCAAAACGGTGACAGAGGCCTGGAGAACCCTCATGGCTCAATATGGTCAAGGTGACGTAATTCGTGTTGCCAAGATAATTGAAGCCCTGGCTACACTCAAACAAGGTAACCAAACTGTTCGCGAGCCGGCTCGATTAAAACAAATCGAGTGTCGAACGAGTTTTTCTCGAATCGCACACCGAGTCGTTCATGAGCGGCTTGGTTCATTAATAGCCCTACTGAGTACTATGGTGACTTAATAGCCTTAAGAGACGAACTGGAAAATTACCAACCCCTGGATCCGTGCACTTGTACACCTACCAGCAACACACAGTGTAGTGTAGGGCAATGTAGTATGTCTTCATTTACAGAGACATCAACTATGTCATTCAGTTTCTCCGGGGTCTTAATGATAACTATTCCACTGTGCATTCTCAAGTCTTGTTTGGAGAGACATTACCTTTGATTGCCAGGGTGTTTCAAAGAATGCTTCAACATGAACGCCAACAGTATGGTACTAACCAGAGCAAGCCCTTGCTGCTGAGAGCATCACTCTTGCCTCTCCCAGCAACATTGCTGCCAATAAAAAGGCTCGACCATACTACACATACTACAAGTCCCAAGGCCATGTGGAAGATGTCTGCTTCCATAAGCATGGTTGGCCTCCAGGGATGACTTCCAGAGGATCCAATCCATCCATTAGGTCAGCTGAATGCACCTACTGCAAGAAACTTGGACATACAGAAGACAAATGTTATTCCAAGCATGGCTATCCCTCAACCTCAACTGGAGTTGGATAAGGCAGTATAAAGAGCAGACAATATACAAATGCAGCTCCAGTGGTTGATTCCACAAAAACACAGGAAGAATTCAAGCTAACAAAAGCAGATTATGGAAGATTGATGAATCTTGTGAGCACTAAGTCTCCAACACCAAGTGGACCAATCTACTCAGCTGCAACATTTGTTGACAACAAGCAGCATGCTCAAGTAAATTCTATTTCAGCACTCAAGCTAGACAGCCTTATAGACAAACCTAGATACTTGATACCAGGGCTTCAGATCATATAGTGTGTTCTCTTAGCCACCTACACAACCATAGAAGAATTGATAATGTTTACATTACCTTGCCAACTAGGCAACAAGTCTAGGCCACACACACAGGAACTGTCAAATGTGTTGCAGACCTGGTACTTAAGGAAGTGCTATTTGTTTCCCAGTTCAGCTTCAATCTTGTGTTAGTCAGCAAACTAACCAAGAACAAATCCCTCTGTTTGACATTCTTAGGAGGATGACTAGGTCTGCTAAACTATTCCATGGCCTTTACCTCATAGACAACACCCCTAGAGACCACCATCCTAAACACATCTCAGCTGCTAGTACTCAAGCTTTTGACCTATGGCATTTCAGACTAGGACATGTCTCTCATTTCAAAGTCCCTCTTTTGAAACAAATTTGTACATCCATAGAGACCTATAGTACTTTACCTTGTGAGGTCTGTCATTTTGCCAAACATAAAAGACTTTCTTTTCCTACTAGTTCTACTATTACTGCAAAAGCTTTCCAGGTAATATATGTGGATATTTGGGGGCCAAATCATGTTCCCAGTCATGATGGATTTAAATACTTCCTTTCCATTGTAGATGAGTATACCAAAATGACCTGGATAGTTCTTTTAGCAGCAAAATTAGAGGCCAGACCAAAATTACAAGCCTTCTGTAATTATGTTCAAAGACAATTTGACACAACTGTTAAAGGGATTAGGAGTGACCAGGGTAAAGAATTTCAAATGACAAATTCCTTTCAACAAACCGGCATTTCTCATTAACAATCATGTGTTGAAACTCCACAATAAAACAGTAAAGTTGAAAGAAAACATCAACATATATTGGCTGTTGCCAGGGCCCTAAAATTCCAAGCCAACCTTCTGATTTTTGGGGAGATTGTGTCAAAAATGCTATCTATCTAATCAACAAAGTACCCACCCCGGTTCTAGACAATTTGACTCCTTTGAAGAACTCCACAACAAACCTCCTGACTTCACCAATCTCAAAGTTTTTGGTTGTTTGTGCTTTGCCAACACCCTAGCGAACCACAGAACCAAGTTTGATCCTAGAGCTAGAAAGGGTGTTTTCCTTAGTTTCACTCCTGGCATTAAAGGTTACAGAATCTATGACCTTTCAACTCATGACATTTTCACCTCCAGGGATGTCCGATTCCACAAACATCATTTCCCTTTTCAAACACCACTGAACCAACCGACTGATTCCATTGCCTCCCTCCCTAATACCCCTCCTATTCTGTTCCCTAACACCACTGAACCAACAGACTAATTCCTATTCCTCACTCCTGATGCCAGATAATCTAAACAAGAGGGCCTGGAAAACTTTATCAAGACTCCAGACTGTTTGAGAACTTTCTGCAATTTAAATATCATTCGAATTGGACTGAGTGAATTACAATTTGGCGTAAGTACAACCTAGGGGGACTCATACTTGAGTGAGTCCTCTTAATTTGAGAACAACCGTTTACTTAGTTTCTTTCTACTTTTGCTTTCAACCAACTTCAGCCGCTAGATAATAGAACTTCACCGAGTAACTAGTACACTTCGGACCGGCTTGACATCTAGAACCTGAATCACTATACTAGATTCCTAGATTGTGATTACACTTGGTCGTGATTTAGTTGTGTTAGTAAAGGCGAGTCAAGTTTTTGGCGCCATTGTCGGAGAATGGCTAGGTTAATGAGGAAACGTGAAAATCTGTTACTCTAACATTTACTTTTTTTCATTTTCTTTTTTCAACCTTGTGCCTTCACAGGTTTTGCTTCTAGCTATGTGCAGGTAGTGCATGACTCGTAGCCAGTCGGGACATCTCTTTCCTTTGGGCCAGGTTATCATCACAGAAGGGTCAGAGAGTGATGAGGAAGAAGCGATGGCTGACCCATTAATCTAGTGGGGGGATGTGAATGGGGTTCAACCACAGCCAGAGGAGCGGATTATGGGGTTCTACCTGACCCCTATGGCCGAGGATTTGAGGTCTAGTATACAACATCCTCAAGTTGCTGCCAACAACTTTGAGGTGAAGACTTTTATCATTCAAATGCTGAGGACCTCGGTGGTTTTCAATGGGTTGTCAGGTGAGTGCCCCAGAGAGGATAGCAATTAGCAACCAAACTCATGGCCGCGGGTATCCGACCCACTCTGACCCAGTCATCGCGGGGAATCCTCGCTTTGACTGTGTATGGGGCTGGTATGGGTAAAACCCGCAAAAAGGTTGATGGGTATGGGGGCGAGTATGGTTTGGGACTCTCCCGCACCATACCCATACCCAATTCATCCTCTTACGTATTAGTGCCATAATTTTGGGCATGTAGTATCCATATTTGTCACCATATTCTTCTGTTAATGATGAGTAGTTGATGGGACAGGTATTATCCATGAGTATTCGAAAACCGCGGGTATGAAAATAGATTTATGAAACCTTCCATCAGATAAAATATGGGACGAGTATGAGTTTGGGTATTTGAAAATGAGGATGAAATTTGTTTAAGGCAAATCCGCCATAGCCCCATTCCATGCATAGACGGAAGTTACCAATCAAAGCAGTGCATTTGCGGGTTTACGGTTAGAATGAATTAAGAGGGCCCCTCGTAAGCGACCAAAATACAAAGGACAAGTAAAATCGAAACAGAGAACATTTCAACTCAACAACCAAAACATAATTTCGATTAAACAAATAGCCTGCTTCGTCGTCGTCGTCTTCAGTTGGATTCCTCCTTGCCTCCATCCACTATCATACCCAAAATTTGCAGGCCATAGTTGTCCGCACCCCACCCAGAAGACGATTTCAGCAACTCCCAACGAGTTCAACTACTCACCCTTCAAGCTTTGTTAAGGCAAGCTTACCAGCTCAAGAGGCCATACAAGACAAAGAAGAAGAGAATCAGAATCAACGCTCCCAGAGTAAAACTTTCGCCATCGTCGCCAAATGCAGATGACTCTTCGCTCTGCCATCTTCCGTCCCGGCAGACTCCATAAATGGGCAAACACCATGAAATCAAATGCATAAACAGTACCAGTGAAACGGGGATCGCCATCAGGACCAAAGGAGACAGACCAGAGCTCTCACTGCCACTGGGTAGAAGCAGAAACAGCAACACGTCGGCAGCTGTCATGAATGCCGGGGCAAGAATCACCACTCCCAAGGCTCCCACCAGAAGTAAAGGTAGCACTGGTGATGGACCGCTGCTGCTGCTCATTTTGCACCCTGCTGAGGATATCCAGAGACAGAGAAGGAAGAGGGGGGAGGAGGCGGCAATATTTGCTGCAGTTGAAATGACTATCAGAAATTCTGACAACATCATATTTAACCTATAGTTTGGACTCTTAAATCAAACAAATCACGGAATCTTATCTGCATGGCTAATGAAACAAACTAATGGGAGTCCAAAGTCACTATCTTTGTAGGTGTTTCCCGTACAGAAACTAGTATAATCAGAAAATAAAACATGGAGTAAAGAAAATTATTCACTGTTGAATTAAGGGGAAAAAGGACAAATAGGAGTAGATTCCCTATTCCCTTAATCTTAATAACTCATATAGATAACACGGCAGATATATAACTTGACATTTTAGAGCAAGCTAAACTACAACGGGTTTGGTTTTCCTGCAGAGTTCTCCTGAGGGTAAAGGCATATAAACAAAATTATAAATACAAAAATCATATCATATTTGAGATAGACTTCAATTTCCCTCCTCTTTACCCTTCATGTACTATACTTGAGATGCTTCTCATAATAATTTATCAACTGCAAGGAAAGAGAGAATATGTCAGTGCATCATCGCATGAAGCCATCTCATATATTAACTAGCAGCACAGAAGTCAATCAAATCAATTCTGAATTACCAGCAGTGGATCATTAGCCTTCAAAAACTTGTTATTCACAAGTACTTGCTTGCCATCAGACCTGAAGAAATAGAATAAACCCATGTTTCAGCTAAATTAAATACAGAAAGACGGGCAGACTTTGAACTGGTAGCTAGTGTGCCTAATGTTTCGACAATACACAAAAATCTTCAGTTTCCAACTTAGTTCTCTTTCATGTGACTAGGTCGGGAAAACAAAGCAAGACGCAACAGGTTCCAGGCATGCACATTCTTTGGGTGTTCGGCCATTCAAGCTCTGAAAGACAACATAGCAATAGATTGGAAATCCCAATCTCAGGAGAACATAAGGAATGAAGCATGCCAATGATCATCATGAATATGGCCCATTCTCTATTTCTTTTAAGCCTAAATTATTCTCTAGGAAGAACTGTTGTCTTCTTCCATATGAGTGTTACCAGACAGCCCAAATCGACACCTAACTATTTAGTGATTGGTAGACACAAGGAACAATTAACAAAAGATCTACACAAGTCCGAAAAGGGTTCTAAGGAAAACTAATTCCAAACATAGTTAAGGACCAACCTCACTGCAGCAAACGTTACCACCACATCCTGAATATTGTCAAATGAAGAAGCTGAATAGCTGACCGGCTTGAGAATCTTGATGATTTTAGATGCTTCAGTCATCTCACCTTCAAAGCTGAGAGAGATGTTACAGGCTGAATTATCTACGAGAGGAGCTTCAAAAGAGGCTGGATCTTTTTTAAATCTCTTCACAGACTCTGATTTCCTTCTCTTAGCACCTGTTCTACGGTTGGTTTGAACAGGGTCTACCGAATCAACCTTGAGAGACGACCCATTCTCAACAACTTCGAGAGCCTTGGAATCAACAAACTGAACAGAAATCTGATCTCCATTAACATCATTTGATGTTGCCGTTCCTCTCAGTTCACTAAGCTTTGGATCATATTCAGTATCATCCTTCACGCCCAATTGAAGTCTTGGGCGGCTAGTGCACCAGCTCTCACCCGCTTGAGTGGCAACTTGGACATTGGTGCCATTTTCATCACTTTCTTCTTCACGAGTGTGTGCTCGAAGACTTGCAAGGCCTGATGTGTTCAGAGAGGTCGAGGGTAAGCTTCTGTCAGCTGCACTGACATCATCACCTGTCAAATTGTTAGCAGATGAAGCACGCGACTGCTTCTTCTTACCCTGCGAATTAGAGCCCCCAGACTTGCGTTTCCTTTTCCGAATAGATTTTTCAGATTGCATCCTGTAAGCAAGAGATCCATTGTTTGTAAAATATATATAAACTTAAAGACAAAATGATCCCCAAAGAAACAAATTAGCCTTTAGATTCCAATAGACAAAATCAAACACCTTTAGGAAATTTACTGGCCATGAACACTAACAAAGACAGTCAACATAAGAAAGAGAGAGAAGGGAGACTACCTTTCCTCGAATGCTTCAATAAAATCAGAACAAGACTGCAAATTTTCTAGAGGCTCCCACGTGTTGGCAGTCTCTGGCCAGCCTCGCCTTTAGAAACCAAGGGGAAAAGAATTGCGACCCACCATTCATTAGTTTGCCAATACAAGGACCGCAGATATTAAGGCAAACAAGGTAGGATTCTGTGGAAGATCTTAAAGAAAGAGATATTGGAGCTCACCATTTAATGAGATACTGAAGCTGACCCTGCTTTGATAAAAAAAAAAATGGACACACCCATTAGCACCATCATCTCAATTCTCAACCAAGTTAAAGAGACTGTAAACCGTCAACAAAATCACCAATGCAAAATGATCCTGACACCGTGAAGAAAACATTTCGCATTCGGAAGCACTTACGAACCACAATTGCTTTCAACAAACACTAATTGATTTACAAATTGCAAAACGCTAGTGGCATCTGCAATGCATGATGAAATGAGAAGAAAATTAGACCTTGCGAACCCGTTTACGCCGAATAGCTTCGATTTCAAAGAAACCATCATCAAGCTTCGGCCGCTCATCTTGGCCTTCATCCTGCTCGTCTTCCTCTGCCGCCTCTTCCTCTCCGACTGCTGCTTCTTCACCATCACCATCATTTTCCACTTCTGCTTCTGCTTCTCTTTCTCCATCTTCTACTACTACCTCCTCGGGTTTCTCCAGCTTACCCTCATCCCCATCTCGATTCGCTAAAATCTCAACAGCACCGTCGTCCCTAGCCGGGCCCGCCAAGCCGCCGCCAGCTTGACCCTGATCATCCGCCGCCGCAGCGCCATTTGCGGATAACAGATTGGCATGGAGAGATGCTTTCCGCTTTGACTTCATCTTGAATTCGATTTGGAGCAGTTGGAAAAAATTTGAATTGGATTAGATTTTATGAGGTCAGTCAGGTTTCTCTAGGGTTTCTTGTCTTCCTTACTATTGATTTCCCCCCCTTATATTGGGAAGAGGAGAGGGAAGGGGGTTTCGATTATTTCGTATTCCGGAGATAGTAATGGCGGTAACGGAAAAATCAAGAGACCGCCATTTTCGCCCCCTTTCGATTGCCGACAAATTGATATTTTCCACTCCTCCATTTTATGACCAATTTTAATTTTGGTTCTCGAATTTTTTAACCTTTCGATTCAATGGGGAATGGATTATGGTGTCAACTTTTAAAGGTTGTCTTCGTGAATAGGGTTGGAAGTTTGGTACCGGTATTTGGGATATACCGAGTATCGTATCGAATTTGTCTATATTTGGTATTACCGAATATACGTATTATTTTTTGGGATTGAGATTGAATTTCAATTGTTATTTGGTATTAGAGATTACGGGATTGAGATTGGGGTCAGTATATACTGAAATACTGATCAATACCGAAATATAAGCTAGTGTGTATTTTATCCTCTCAACTAGAATCTCTCATTCACTACTACACGAACCTAAACCACCAAGAGTGTCATTAAATATACATAGATCATTCTATCACTATTAATAGTCGTCTCTCAACCTCCAATTCGTCAAATTAACGATTACCAATAACAAGAACTTGAGATGTCTTCTCTCCTCCATTCTCCTTAATAATATCTTAATTCAAGACACTTTGCTTAGTCTTTCCCCCTAAATTATGTTGACCCTGAAACGACGTAGCAACTCTCTAAAACGGAGCACTATTCTATGATGTCGTTTCGCCGCCATCTTGTTGTTGCTTCACTGCATCTCAACTACACCGTTTCAATATATCATCCTTCGAAGTCAAGAGAGGACTCCTCGATTGATCATCTCTCTCGATCGTCCTCTTTCCAACGGAAGCTTCAGCTTTGCCTGCTCCACCTAGCACCGTCTCTATGAGGATGCATGATGAAGACTATGGAAGGCTCCCCTTTAGGCAACGGTCATCTACTGCTAACAGTATAAATTGTAAGCCTTCTACTCATTTGGAACTTGTACTTTGACAGTGAGTTGCGAGAGCTTCTGGGTTTGAAACTCTTCTGCTTTGGGTCAAAGATGGTAATTGCTTCAGTAGATAGAATCACAGTGTATGGGAGTGTACTGGGTGATTCCAATCTTGGGAAGTGAGTGTGTTGAGTGTTTGTTTCTTAAAAGAGCCAAGTCACTTGGCTTGGCTAGGGGTCTCTGTGTTGTTCGATCTTCATTTGCAAAATCAATAAAAATGTCTTTCTTTTCTTTACAAGAGATCATCTTAGAAAAGCAATAATCCACATCTCTTATTGAGTGTATCTCACATTTTGACTTTACAATTGGTATCAGAGCCTACTCTTTGTGGGATTAATCGTCGCCAAAGAGAAGGTCTTGGGATGTCAGGAACTTCATCAACTGGAGTGGCATACTCCGCTAATACAAATCCTCCGTGGTTTGATGGAACAGATTACACCGTTTGGAAGAAAAGGATGCGAATATACCTTCGTGGAGTTGATGGTGAATTGTGGGCAGTTGTCAGAAAAGAGCCAATTCCCATGGAGGATGAAGATGAAGAAGACTGGAAAGAAGAGCAAAAAATCTCCTCTCAGCTCGATTCCAGAGCAATGCACATACTATTCTCAGCACTAAGCCCTGAAGAAAGGAGTCAAGTGGCTCAATGCGAGTCTGCCAAGGAAATATGGGAGTCTCTTCAGACCACACATGAAGGTACGTCTGAAGTTAAAGAGAGTAGAATAGATGTGTTGCTAAATGAATATGAATCTTTTGAAATGAGCTCAGGTGAATCAATTTCTAGTATGTACAAAAGATTCAATGATTTAATAAACAGGTTAAAAGGGCTAGGAAATTTTTTTGAAACAAAGGACCTAGTTAGGAAAATACTAAGATGTCTTCCTAGAGAATGGTTACCTAAACGAACTGCAATTGAAGAAGCTAAAGATTTAAAGGCACTATCTATTGAAAGGTTAATAGGATCTCTGTTAAGTCATGAAGAAGTTATAATACAAATGAACAAAGAAGATCATAGAAGAAGAAAAGTTATTAATTAAAACTATTAAGCCGTAAGTTTTTTTACTGTTGCATACGATAAAAACGGGCCTACTATTTTAATCCCGGATTACTGTTCATAAACGATGAAGTTTTTGCTTTCGTGTGGCCGAGTGTACTTTACCAACGTAAAGCTCTGGCGGCTGCCCAAGCCCAAACATCTAACGTTTTGCTCACTATTTTTTATACATTGGGCTGTATGATGGTGACATACATACCCTTATTACAACTCCATCTCTCCATTATTTTTTCCGCTGAATAACTCCATCTCTATTTTAGGAAGAGACTAATTAGTTGAGGTGTTGATTTTGAATTATATGGTTAACATAAGTTAAATGGATGGATGAAACTACTTTTTTTTTAATTACATACAGTATCACAATTTCATCAATTTGCATTATGTAAAATTTTTGTAACATAAGTTAAATGAGTGGATGAAATTTTAAATATAATTATTTTCATATTAGTGCGTATATACCAATTTTATCATAATCGATTTTTTCTCTTATAGTTGGTTGTTTAGTTATTTTTCCCCATCTCCTGCAAAACAATTTCACTCTAAGGTCTTTTCTCATGTTGTCCCTTTCTGTAGCGGGTACCATTCGTGAATTTTTTTATTCATATACCCAATTTTATCATACTATTTCTCTCATTTATTCAGCTGTATAGGTAGTTTTTTTATTTTCCATCTCCTACACCCTATATCCGTATAAGCTCTTTTTCCCCTATAGTAAACTATGTATGTACATTTTCATTTCACATTACGGAATGTTTACACTTTACATATTGCAAATGCATTACGTAAACTTTTTCATTTCATATTACATAAGATTTACAAATCTATTACATAAATTAATCATTATTCTTTTAACAAAATAAGGGTAGTATTAAATATGTTCTCCCTTTTTTGTAGCGGGTACCATTCACAAAGTTTTTTTATTCATATACTCAATTTTATTATAAACCCTTAGTTTTTTTTCCATCTCCTACACCCTATTTTAGTATAAAGCTCTTTTTCTCCTATAGTCAACTATGTATGTACATTTTCATTTCACATTACATAATGTTTATGCATTGCAATGCATTACGTAGACCTTACTATTAACTACAATAATGCTTACTATCTCATCAATTATCATTATACAAAATTTATGCAAGGTAAGTTTACTTTACATAGTAGTTAAATTAAATGTAACACTTTTTATAACTGGTTTTATTATTAGACCACACATTCTAGAAGATTTACATAATATCATTCTATAAAAACTATATAGCTTATAAATAAATTACGTAAAGCTTACAAAGGAATAGTTATTCCTTATTTATCAATTAAGTATAACATATTACATAAGACTTTCAAAGTAATAAAAAACTATGTAAAGCATATGGAGGAATCGTAATTTCTTAAGTATCAAGTAAAAATGTAATAAGCAAATATTTCATAACATAAGTTTGAGTGAGATTTTTAAATTTTAACTAAACTATTGACTATCACATCAATTTGTACTACACAATGGTTTTGTAAGGTCATTTAGTTTTATATAATATTTTAATCAAATGCGATACTTTTCATACTAATTCACATATTACTAAATAAATTTCTTCATTATTACCCACAATATTAGCTATCTCTTCAATTTGGATTATGCAAAGGTTCATTAAAATAAGTTAATTTTGCATAATGATTTCATCAAAAGTCGTAAATTCATTTTATTTTATTATTAGACCACACATTACAAAAGATTTATATAACATTGTTCTATAAAAATTACACAAATTAAAAATACAACACATAAACATTATGAATGAATAATTATTCTCATATACACCCAATTACTTAAATCATTAAATGAGTTGATAAATTTTTAAATGTAAATAATTTTTTACCGCCGCGAAGCGCGGGCCAAAAAACTGTATGTTAATGACTGATAATCAAGCGCAAAAAGATGAAATTTTGACTTTAACTAGATCCTTAAATGTTCAAACAAAATGGAATAAGGAACTAAACAAGCAGGTATTTGATCTTAAGGATGAAAATCAAAGGTTAAGAAATTTATGCAAGACCAACTCAAGCCTAGTTAAGAAAGATCACAGTATGTTCAATTCAAGCTCTGACATAAGAAAACACTTTCAAAGAAGGTTTACTAAACATCATTATGCTAAATATAATAAATACTCAAAATATCCTGTAATTTTCACATGCTCCTTCTGCAAAAGAAAAGGACACGTGGAAATTTTTTGTTATGATTTAAACCCCAGAAAGCCAGTTGTATCCAAAACATTTTGGGTACCAAAATGTGCTAACCTATGATTGAATGCAAAGTTTGGGAGAAAATGAGAACACATGGTTTCTGGACAGTGGTTGCTCCCACCACATGACAGGTAAAAAGGAATTATTTTCTTCTTTAAGCTATAAAAAGGGTGGTAAAGTGGTATTTGGAGATGATCGTGTAGGAATATTTATGGGGAATGGAACAATCGGTAAAAGCCCTCTCCCCACTATCAATGATGTGTTGTTTGTTAAAGGTCTTAAGCATAATCTTCTTTCCGTTAGTCAATTATGTAATTCTGAAAACAGGGTTGTTTTTTAGTCATCCTCATGTGAAATTATCAGAATTAAGGACAACAAACTGCTGTTTAGTGGAACTAAAAGAAACAACATGTATGTAGTGGACCTGAACTGTCTAAGAACATTTAATGAGACCTGTTTTCAAGCTAAGCATTATGATCTTGAGATGCTATGGCATAGGAAACTTGGTCATATAAATCTTTCTAAATTATCACAGCTCTCTAAATCAAAATCTGCACGTGGAATTCCCTTGTTAAAAGAAAATTCAAAATTCTTCTGTGATGCGTGTGTTGGAGGTAAATTAGTCAAGAAGAGCTTTAAACCTAAAAAGGATATAACCACCTCTGAACCATATGAGCTGATTCACATGGATCTCTTTGGACCAACCAATGTGGTAAGTTTGGGAGGTAAGTCTTATGCTCTTGTACCTGTCGATGACTTCTCTAGATATACTTGGGTCTACCTTCTTGCATCAAAGGATGAAGCTTTCATCCACTTTAAAATTTTTGTGAACCTAATACTAAATGAATCCAAAAATGGTATTAAATCAATTAGAAATGACAATGGAGGAGAGTTCATTTATGAACATTTTAGTGATCTGTGTAATGACAGAGGAATAAATCACACTTTTTCAGCCCCTACAACAGAATGGTGTAGTTGAAAGAAAGAACAGAACTATAATTGAAACTCCAAGAACGATGTTGTTAGAGTATGGTACTCCTAAGTTTCTCTGGGGTGAAGCAGTTATGACTGCTGTCTATGTGATAAATAGGGTATTGATCAGGAAAACCATTGACAAAACTCCCTATGAGATCTTAAAACAAAAAACACCTAACTTGGAGTATTTTCACCCTTTTGGATGTAAATGTTTTATACTAAGTACCAAGGATCACCTATATAAGTTTGATTCAAAATCCGATCAAGGAATTTTCTTAGGCTACTCACTTAAAGGGCAGGCCTACAGAATCTACAATCTCAGGTCCAAAAAGGTTGAAGAGTCAGTATTTGTGAAATTTGATGAAACTGGAAGTACTAACAAAGTTTCTGTAGAAAGTATAGATCTTTTATTTCTTGTGTCAAATGAAAGGGAGATGTCTGAAGATCATTGTAGAGATCTCTCTCAAGAAACAATCAAGGAGGACAAAGATGAGACAAGTGATGAGTCAAAAATAGAAGAAGAAAAGAAAGCACCACCATACATCCAGAAGAGACATCCTTCTTCACAAATTATTGGACAACTCAATGCAGACATTCATACCAGAGGTAAGTACCAACCAGGTCAGTACGCTTTTGTTTCTCTGCTAGAACCTAGAAATTACAAAGAAGCCTTATTAGATGATAAAGGGTTGGATGCTATGCAAGAAGAACTCATACAGTTTGCTAGATTACAAGTATGGGAACTTGTTCCTCGCCCTCTTAACAACCGAATCATAGGTACAAAATGGGTTTTTAGAAACAAAACAAATGAGGAAGGGGAAGTTACTAAAAATAAAGCCTGACTTGTGGCACAGGGGTATTTGCAAGAAGAAGGAATAGACTTTGAGGAATCATTTGCCCCTGTTGCGCGAATTGAATCTATTAGAATGCTATGTGCTTATGCATGCTTCATGAAAATTCCCCTGTTTCAAATGGACGTAAAGAGTGCATTCTTAAATGGAGAACTAAAAGAAGAAGTGTATGTGAGCCAACCACCTGGTTTCATTGACCACAAATACCCTGACCATGTTTACAAACTGTCAAAAGCTTTATATGGGCTAAAACAAGCCCCTAGGGCATGGTATGAAAAATTGTCCTCATTCTTGAAATCAGAAGGTTTTAATCAAGGAAATGTTGACAAAACACTCTTTATCAAGAAAGAAAACACCGATACATTAATAGTGCAAATTTATGTAGATGACATAGTCTTTGGATCAACTAATCCATCTATGAGCACCAAGTTCTGTGACATGATGAAATCTGAGTTTGAGATGAGTATGATGGGGGAATTATCTCATTTTCTAGGGCTACAAATTAAGCAACTAGACTCAGGAATATTCATCAGTCAAACTAGTTACACTGAATCGATACTTAAGAAATTTGACATGTATTCAGTCAATACTAGCACAACTCCTATGGCCACTAACTTAAAATTAGACAAGGATGAGGGAGGTATTCCCTTCTGTGAAAGAAAATACAGAGGAATGATAGGGTCTCTCCTTTACCTAACGGCCAGTCGACCTGATATCCAATTCAGTGTAGGGTTGTGTGCTAGATTTCAATCCAGTCCTAAAGAAAGTCACTTCAAAGCTGTTAAAATAATATTTAGGTACCTCAAAGGAACCATAGACATTGGACTATGGTATCTTATATCCGACTCATTTGAACTAATCGGGTACAGTGACTCAGACTTTGGAGGAAGCCTAGTAGATAGAAAAAGTACTACCGGAACTGTCCAACTACTTGGTTCATCTCTAGTGTCCTGGTTTAGGCAAAACAAGGGGCAATAGCACTCTCCACTGCTGAAGCAGAATAAATGGCTGCTGGGAGTTGCTGTGCTCAAATAATGTGGATGAAAGCACAACTTTCTGACTATGGTTTCAAATTAAAAGACATTCAAGTATGCTGTGACAACACAAGTGCAATAAGTATGACAAAAAATCCAGTCCAACACTCAAGAACTAAGCACATTGAAATAAAGTATCATTTTATAAGAGAACTTGTCCAAGCTGGTCATATCGAACTACAATTTGTAGCAACTGAATATCAGTTGGCTGATTTACTAACAAAACCCTTGGTCAGTGAACTTTTCTACAACTCTGCACAGAATTAGGCTTAAAATCCTTATGTCAGATCGAAAATCTTCCAAAGTAACACCTCATTGGATTTCTATATTGCATGCATTGGTGCAGCAAGCAATGATTATAAACTTCTCAACCAAAAATTAAAAATAAGCGAGTTGATTGGTTCTTTTTCTCTCAGTACTTTTTGCGTGTCTTGGTTTAACCAAAATAAACGCTCCATCTCGGCTCATGCCTACCTCGACTAATACATCTATGTTTTTAGCTTAATCATTTACTTTAAAACTTTGCATGCGGGAAACTCTTCACCTTCCTCTCTTCTCCATCCCTTTCTCTATATAAAGCCACATTATCCATCCTCTCTTCCCACATTGCTCCACTCAATACCAAATCTGTTTTATCAAACATCGAGAGAAAGCACAAAACATCAGCCTTTGAACAGTATGAGTGATCATCTTCCACGACCTTTCCGCTTTGATGGTCTGGTCCACACATTCTATGTATATATGTTCCATGAGCCTTTGGTGGTCAACCATCATCGCTATCTGCAGCACTTCGACAAGAGGAGGCTGCATCATATCACTCAACTTGATCCTTACGAGTTCAACCTCTATAAATATGACATTGTGTCACTTATTGAGGGTCTCGGATCGGATTTCCTTCTTCGCCAGCCAGTGCACCCTGCCTGTCCTGGTGCTGTCAAATACTTCTACTCCAATCTCAAAAGCCAAGGAATCAGCTCTAGAAGCCTTACTACTCTAGTGTATGGCCATCTCCTGACCATACCTGTCGATGCTATGAATGGCATCCTGGGATTCCCTTCTCAAGGACTCGGCATTGCTCATCCCTCTGAATTCTGGAAACATGAATTCAAGGTTGAAGTGGAATATGGGAATTTCTCCACTGAGCCAACTAGAGGATCAGATGTCCCTATCCCAGTATCCTGGCTGCCTCGTCGGCTGAGGATATTTCACCATTTTCTTACTCATGTCCTCTTCCCACGATCCTTTAATCAGGGTCGAGTTCTTCACATGGACTTATGGATAATTGCTAGTGCAATTGCACGACGCAAGCTGGATTATTCAAGCATAGTGTTTGGCCAACTTCCCCTGTTGGAGATGAAAACTATAGAGGGTTGGTGCCATTTGGGTCACTGATCACTCGCTTACTGATCAGCCTCGGGGTAGATCTTTCTGAGTTTCGAAGCGTTTCCTCTACCATGTACATCAGTGCACTTAATGTGCTGATGGTGCTGGACATTCACACTGAAATCTTTCCTCCCCCTCGTCCTTCTACCTCTCTTCTCGGGCCTCCTCCTAAGCCCGCTGCTGTTAAAAGAACCAAGTCAGTGGGTGAACCCAGCAAAACTGGGGATTTGGTTTTCACCATCTCTGAAGGAGAGTCTTCCTCCGATGACTCTGCTGCTACAGCTCCTGCCTCCTCTCCTGCTTCTAATTTATATATTTAATTATTAATTGCAAAGGTAATTAATTTTGAATTCGATAATATCGATTGGGATACCGAAGTACCGATTGGGATACCGAAATATTTAGAGATTAGGATTAGGATACCGAAATTATTTAGGAATTGGGATTGGGGTTGACTTTAGAATGTAATTCGGTATTTTGGATTTCGATATTTGGTATTGGGATAACGATACTGTACCGATTTCCACCCCTATTTGTGACAAACTATATCTGCACTTTTCATCCTCGTTACCTTTAAATGATTATGATTCTTTAGGGGTAATTTTGGAACAAAAATTAATACACACGTTCGATTACTATTCTTAAAATATGATTTTGTATATTTCTCTCATCAAATTCTAAAGAATTACATTCATTTCTCTCTCCATCGTTCTCTCTACCTCTTGCTCTTCCTCTTCCTCTTCCTCTTCCTCTTTCTCTTCCATGTTTATGTTGATCACCGTCCTCCGAACATACATGTGTTGACCATCCCTATGCCAAAAACATTAGAAGAACAATCACGAGAAGCCAAAAACACAAATGACGGTATGATCTCATAAATCGTTCCCGCCCTCTTCATCGACACTTCGCATTCCAACGTGGTCATCCTCTCCGGCGGCATCATGAGAACGTGCAACGATGTCCAAAAGGATATGCGGACAATCTCATTCACCTGAATCCCTCTCCCCACGAGCTTCGAGCTCAAGCTCCTCATAACATTCACGATCGCTCCCTTCGTCGAGCTATAGGCCACCCGCTCGTTTTTCCTTGTATAGGCCGCGATAGAGGTGGTGTTAATTTTGAGGCTCCTGTATTTCATGTGGTTGAGTGAATTGGTATTGGTTCACGTTGAACTGGTGTTTGTTCGTGTTGAATTGGTATTTGTTTGTCTAAACAAGTATTGGTTTGCGTAGAACTGGTATTGGTTACGTCATTTGTACCACTGTTGACTTGTTCTTAACTAGTATTAGCGTTTTTGAAATGGTAGTGTTTTTATGATTTGGTATTGATCTCTTTTTTATATTTATGAAGTGGTATTTGTTCTTCTGAACAGGTATTGCTTCGTCAAAATGGGGACACAGCAGAATCGAGAAGAAGACAGAGAGGTGGTCGGAGAAGCAGAAAGGTGACTAGGGAATTGTTGAAGTGAGAGAGAGATAAATTTTTTATTAATATGTATTTATAATTTCAAAAAATACAACCTATTAAAAAGGATAAAAAAAATTCGAACACAGTTGCTCGTGGTTGTCACGGTGACTACTATCACCATCTCATTGTCAACTTTTTAATTTAAAAATAAAAATAAAAAATTTATTCCTAAATTCTTTTTTGATAAATAGGTATAATATGCATATTTACTATGTAGTTTTATCAAACATGTCCCTTTACTATTTTTTTACATCAAACATACCTTTGTATTTTAGAAAAATTATCAAACATGCCCTTCTGCTAAAATTTTAATCGACAAATCGTCAATCATATGATCGAACCATGGTTTGGGTGATACAAATATATAAAATACACACATTAATGTCACTTATATATGTTCTGTTTTTTTTATTATTTTATTAAGAGGCTGTTACACAGCCAAAGAAAAGAGGGGTCAGAGAGCAAAACAAACTCAGAGCAGAGCTCTGCTAGTTTGCCTCTCAAGAAACAATGAGACACCACAAAAACCGACCAACTGCAAGTTAGGCTCTAACTAACCAAGTCCAAAAGAAAAAGCTACTCATTATTGACAATGTGTCGAGGGAAGCTGACCCCTCAATGTCATCCATGACGATGTGCCCATGCTCGGCGGGTGGTTGCGGTAGTTCCTGTACCCCGAAAGGATAGACGAGACTGTGCTTCGAGAGCCAGCCCGTGACTCTATTCCCCCTCACAGTACGTGTGAACTAATCGTATGACCCATGCCATTTTCCGGCGGATCAAACCCAGCAAGGTAGCCAAAGGGTGGGTCAGGTCTATGCGCTTGTTAATGAGGTTCGTTGCTAGCATAGAGTCTGTTTCGACCACCAGGAAGTCGATGTCATGTTTCCATGCCATTCACCCGTCCAAACACCTGTCGAGGTGTCCTTGAGGTTATCCTTGAACCAAGATTGGTCGTTGGCGGCAAAGAAAGCTTGTTTCTTGTTTGCTAGGACGAGTCTGTTCCAGATAAAGGCTGTTGCGGGACAGTCCCTTAGGCAATGCAGCGCTGCTTCAGGAATGTTCTCGCACTTGGCGCAGGAGTCGTTCATCATTAGCTTCCTCTTCTTCCTGATGCTATTCGTGATGATCTTCCCTACGGTAGCCATCCAGGTAAACACTTTAACTCTCTCCGGGACTTTGAGTTTCCATATGGCTTTCCAGGTCTGGCTGTTTTGATCCTCAGATTGGCTGCTTTCATTAAGCTGGTAGGCTGACTTTGTGGTGAACTGGCCATTAGAGGTCGCCCTCCAGACCAGGTTGTCTTCATTCAAAGCGAGGGGGTCGACAGCTGCTGCCCGAATCGTGTTTGTGACATCAACAGTTAAGAGATGAGTGAACTCCTCAATCTTCCAGCCTTCCTTCGCGTCCCACATATTTGCCACGGTCTTGCTCAAATGATCCTCCGGAATGGATGCAGACGCGAGTTCCCGTAGTGGTACCTGCGAGATCCAACAATCCACCCAGAATTTAGTTTGTCTCTCATTATGCACATTCATGGCACTGCCTTTGCGCCAAAGATTAGATGCATAGTTGAAACTATGCCAAGCAAAGGAACCTCCCTTATCTTTCCGGAGAACTTCAAGGCATTCTCGAGATCCTCCATATTTCTTCCTCATCACTTCGGGCTAGAGGTGGCAATTAGGATCCAAATCCATGAATCCAATCCAATCCATCCACCAAATTATCCATCTAATCCAATCCATTTAAATCCAATCCATTTGATCCAAATCCAATTGGATTGATGGGTTCATGGATCAATCCATGGATCCAAATGGCAAATTACGATTTGGTACATATATTTTTTATATTTTACATTTTGGTACCTAAAATTTATATTTTTATACGAAAAATAACATTGGAAAATTACATTTTGGTACCTAAATTTTTTCATCGTGACATTTTAGTACATAAACTTTTCAAAATTTACATTTTGGTCCAAACCTTGGATGTCATTTGGATTCATGGATCAATCCACCAATCCATTTGATCCAATCCATGAATCCACCAATCCATTGGATCCAATCCATTTGATCCATGGATCCACCAATCCAATCCACGAATCCACGAATCCGATCCAATTGCCACCTCTACTTCGGGCTACATTGAAGCTTTGTCCGTTGAATCTTCCAGGCACCCTTTGCCAACATAGCAAGGTTAGCTTTCCGGGTTGGCCTGATACCTGCACCCCCTGGCTATGCGGCTTGATCATTTGCTCCCAAGCTACTGGATGGAACTTTGTCTTGTCGTCCTCCTCTCCCCAAACAAACTACCCGGTTGTACTTGTCCAGATTCATGCAGGAAGCAGCACGCAACAGTTCCGAGAACATAGGATATATAGATATGGAATAGGAGATGGATCTCACCAGGATTAGTCGCGCTGCCAAGGAAAGATGGCGAGTTTTCCATGGTGTCTGCTTACGCTGAATTCTCAAAGCCAGATCGCTATAGCGTTCTGTCGAGATTCTACCATTGATCGCCCTGATCCCTAGATATCTACCTAGGTTCGATTTATTTTGTATAGCTCAATACTACTAAGTACTAACAATTTCACTTTAATGAACTTAAGAAATACAAGGAGGGAAAACTTATATTTCCCCACCCATTTTACCAAGGTTTGGTCATCTTAATTATGGTTCAACCATGATTGATGGGTTTTGAGTGGCAATTTGAACATAATGGCATGTTTGGTAATTTTTCGGGAGAAATTACGATACTAACTTTATAGGAGCTAGCACCTTGCTAACTATTCTAATCACCGTTAATTATGACGGTAGTTGGTAATCAAGGACTAATTAGGTATTTGAAAAAATAAAAGATCAATTAAAATCTAAAATCAATTTTCTCTCTTCGTTTTAATTAGTTATTTTCTACCGAACAATTACTACTAAATTCATTATTACTTAAGTTAGTAGTGATTATGAAGGCCTATAGTAGTGATTTCATTATTTATAGTAGTGATTTCATTTTGGACTTTGCTACGGTGACATGCATGTCACGATGACATGCACTTTTCGGTCGACCTCATATAGGATCAGGTCGACCTAATCAGTTGTTTCAGTGTACAAACAGTTTCATGGTGCCTACTTTGGAGATTCATATCTTACAATTGGCTAGATGGAAATTGGAGATTAAAGGCTTGTTTTGAAGCTGAAGTGTCCCTCTACACATTAAAGTACTTGGGAGCTCAATAGAAAGTCTAGAAGACCATTTTTGAACCTGACCAAAAGGCTATGCCAAAACTGGGAAACTGCCTGAAAATGGCCAAGTCTGGCAACGTGTTTGTCAAGCCTACTTTGGAGCTCAATTTGACAAGCATGGATGCGAGTCAAGTCCAGGGGCCTTTACCACGTTAAATTACGTATTTTTTTATACAAAGGCAAGACATTAAATGAAAGATTGAATATCTTTAAGGCTTCAAACAAAAGGCTCGAAGTTGCTACGAAGGCTGTTTTTCTGGCAGCTTGCTTGTGCTCGAAGTCTGCCAGAAAAAACAGCCTTCGTAGCAACTTCGACCCTTTTGTTTGAAGCCTTAAAGATATCCAATCTTTCATCCAATTCCTTGAATTTTTATAAAAACATACCTAATTTAACGTGGTAGAGGCTCCTGGACTCGACTAGCATTCATGCTTCTCGAATTGAGCTCAAAAATAGGCTTCACAAACACGTTTCCAGACTTAGCCATTTCTAGGCAGTTTCCCAGTTTTGGCATAGCCTTTTGATGAGGTTCAAAAATGGTCTTCTGGACTTCCTATCGAGCTCTCAATCACTTCAATATGTAGAGGGACACTCCAGCTTCAAAACAAGTCATTAGTCTTCAATTTCCATCTAGCTAATTGTATGATATGAATATCCAAAGTAGGCACCATGAACTGTTTTTACACTGAAACAACATATTAGGTCGACCGGATCCTATATGAGGTCGACCGGATCCTAAATGAGGTCGACCGGATCCTATATGAGGTCGACCGAATTCTATGTGAGGTCGACCTAATCCTAACTGAGGTCGACCGGAAAGTGCAAGTCACCGTGACATGCATGTCACCATAGGCACACCCTTTCATTTTATAGTTGTGAGTTAATGATTTTCTAATTAATAGTGATGGGCGATTTGTAAGTGAGAATCACTACATACTAATGTCTAGTCAACACGTACAAAACATTACTAAAAATTCACTATCACCAATAACCAAAATTCTACGAATGGTTAACAAATCAATGATTACAATAAAAATAACTACCTAAGATAGCTACCAAATACCCATGTAATCAGGGGCGGAGCTACCTTATGTTTCCGGGGGGGGGGGGGGGGGGAGCGGTCTAGCCCCTTGAGAATTTCGAAAGTTGTGTATAAATTTGTAGTCAAAATTACGTATTATCTCGAAACTTTATTAAAATATCTAGATGTGAAAATTTTATTCATAAATATTCTTTTAGTCAACTGGAGTGTCTCGCATATAATTCCCTTGATGATGTAGGTTTGAATCATGGTTATGGTTATGGTAATTTTTTGGGGATTGCTAAACGTCGCCCTACCATTTACTTAAATCGCCCTAATTTATTTTATAAAATTACTTCTATAACCTTCTCTTTTTAAATTTCCTTTGAAAATAGCCGCAGAATTGTCGAAGC